TCTGGTTCTAAAGAAGGATGCCGAGGGTATCATGGACAGAACATGTGAACAATGAGGAAGTTCTAAGAAAAATGTAGACAAAATGGCCACTTATACTTAGAATCAGAAAGAGACAGTTTAGATTTCTATGGCACAATGAGGAAATTGGGTTTGGAGAATCTGACACTCACAGGACACATTAAAAGCAAAAGGTATATAGTGGCAAAATGAGAAATCTACCTAACGAGTTTGTACAAATGGAGGATAGAATATGTAATGATAGAGATAGGAATGGTAGAGATAGTAAAAAGGCAAATATTGGTAATAGAGAGAAAGATGTGGAGAGCTATGATTAACCATTTTCTGAAGGGACACAACACATAGAAGAAGATTTTAATTTTTTTTCGCAACGTTGGTTGATTCGTTTTATACGGTTTATCAATCAATATCTAGTCAGAAAATATTCCTAGATTATAAGTTGTTGTTTTTATGGTGAGGAGGGAATAATAAGGATTTAGTGATACAAGTCTTACTAATTAACTCATACCTGGGCGAAGAAGAGTTGGGTTCATACCTTTCCCAAGGGTATTTGCGCGTGAGTGAATATAACGAACCCAACTGGAATTAGAACACGGCTCTCCAATTAACAATTCAGAAACCTTATCCATTACACAACTCGCATACCCACGCTTACAGCATCGGTGAAATTATTATTTTTATCCCGGATATTTTATTTTTTTATCTAGTGTGTTAACATAAACTTCTAGGTTTTTACGGCTGATGACCATATTCTCGTACGATCATCGAAGTTAGGCAACATCGAGTCTAGTCAGTACCTAGATGGGTGACTGTAAGCTTGGGTGTACGGATGGTTTAATGTATGATGGCCTGTATTTGGAAATCGGAGAGCAGAGTTCCAATTCCAGTCGGGTTTGTTATATTCACTTACGCGCAAAAACCCATAGCAAAGGTATGAATCCATCTCTTCCTCCCCCAGCTATGGGTTAATTAGAAGGACTTGTATCAGTAAATCATTATTGTCGTCAAAAAAGTCTTACAATCCCAAAAATATTTTCAGCCTTTAAATAACCTGCAAATGGTTCATAAGCCGGGAGTAACAAATCAATCAATCGAGGTTATTACTAGGAATTTCGTTTTCTTTTTTTAAATATTGTTTTCACAAATATAGTCTGATCATTTCACTTGTTATTCCGTTTGTTGGTCTCTTAAATTTTCCACGAAGCTGATTTTGATTTAGTTTTTCTAATTCATTTTGTCAAATTCTTTTTTCCTCGTCTGACTACCATGATTATTTTCATTATCGTGTTTGTTGTCTGTTCGTCCTTTGATAGTCGAGTCAACATCGTCTTCATTGCTAATGAACCCCCTTCTTCTTCTGAATTTTCTCTACGTATAGTCCTTCGACATCATCTTTGGGCATCGAGCTTTCTGCATGGTCATTAATTGTTGGGATCTCTGACAAAGATTTTCTGGATTCAGTCGAGCAGATTATGAATTTTTCCCTTTCATGACAATTGAGTCTGGTCTCCAAAACATTTCTTATTCTAATGAAATATTCTTTATTTATTTTCATCCTGTTTTATTGATTCTCTTTCCACAATTCCAAGATATCAGCAATGATCTTTACCATTCATGGTTTTGTTGTCTTCACTGTTCTACAGATAGATTATTTTTCTTGATTCCCGTCGCCTTTTATGCGTCAATGACACTGTACGTTTTACACTCCAATTTCTTCTCCATTGCCATTGCTTGGAGAAAAAAAAATCTGATTCTTTACACCAGTATTTTCAATTCAGTTTTATTTTGTTAAATAATGTTTTTGTCCTTTATACGCCTACGTTTTTATAGTTTTACACTTATATTTTGAGCTTTTTATTCCAGATAAAACTGATTAGCATCATAGACGCTATAAAGATTAGTAAGGCTAGTGAGTTTCCTTAACGTTCCTACGTGACCTTCCATTTCTTCGTTGTCTTGAATGTTAATTTACCCTGATATTTTAAAAATCAAAGACAGGATGAGAAATTGCGATCCTCTTTCAAATTTCTGTCAAGTTCGTTCACTTACGCCATAAATACCCTTACGAAAGGTATAAATCTTCATCTATTCCATCCAGCATTGAGTTAAATAGTAGGACTTATATATATATATATATATATATATATATATATATATATATAGTCAACTAATGATACTGATAACTTGTTCCATATAGTTTTTCTTCATTACTATTATCTTATTGAAGAGAAAACATTATAGTTACGATATTTTAAAGGAAATTATGTTAATTCATAAGGCCAATGTATCATTTCTTCTTCTTCTTCTTCTTCTTCTTATTATTATTATTATTATTATTATTATTATTATTATTACTGAGCAATAGAGTAACATGTCATTAAAGTGACATTGGGTTACAAACATACAAAGCTATTAAGCCATTATAACTTCTTTTTGCGTCTTGTCTCCTCAGGACCTAGGCGATCATGGCCCTTCACAACGTCTTGTTCCTTGTAACTCTTAATAAACTTTGTCTTTCTTTTATTTCTCCTAAGCCCTGTTCCGCCATCTAAATCAAAGCGATTAGCTTTGATAGTTCTGTCTGGGTATGTTGTTAAGTCCCATCAAATTTGTACAGGTCCTATCCTCATAACCGGGTTTGGGTGGTGTTCATATTATTATTATTATTATTATTATTATTTGATTTCTGGTGCGTACTCATTTCTTTCTGGGCCCCAACCAGAGATCTAAGCTCACTATGTTATGCGTTGTTTTCCACTGTCCCTCTTGCCCTCTATCTGTCCTGTGACTATCAGTTTTTCCAAGCCCTCCTTCCTCATTATATGCGCCAGAAACTTCTCTTTATGATGTTAAGTATTAGTTTCCTCTTTGTTTCCATTTTCTCCAAAACTTCGTCTTTACTCACAGGTTCGGTTCACGGTATCCTCAGCATCCTTCTGTA